TGCCCAGCTCTGAAGGCAGCACCGCCGCCAGCAGCAGCGCAGAAGTAAGGGTAGCAGTACCACAGCCCCCCCCCTACAATAACCTTGTGACCCCTCCCCTCACAACTCCTTTTTGAGTCAGGACCCCTACAATTACAACACCATGAAATTTCAGATTTAAATAGCTGAAATCATGACATTGACCATTTTAAAAATCCTATGACCGTGAAATTGACCAAAATGGACGTGAATTTGGTAGGGCCCTAATCGTCAGTGAGAGCTCCAGTGGCTCACATATTCCTGGCTATAATTCAACTTCGTTCCTGAATCAATACAGCCGACTCTAGCTGACTTTATTTCCCTTTAGTTATTCTGCCAGCTTTTCAGAGGTAGTCAGAAAGCGCCTCTAGACAACAAGGGAGCACTCAGCTCAGTCTCGGGCCGTCATTTAAACCGATAACGTCTGGAACTCCCGACGTGCCTGTCAACATCGGGACACGAAAAATCTTACTGAATGAAAGTGGGCCTAAGAAATGTGGGTTCTCTCCCCAAAAGTGCAGGCTTTAACCGGAATTCGCAGTGCTACGGACTAGGGTTGCTTCTGTCAGATCATATGGGGAAAAAATATTCTACACTTGCTTTGTATCGTAAATTAGCACCCGATTCCGCAAACATTCATGCATATGCTTAACTTTATGCCTGTGAGTATTCCCATTGACTTCAGGGAGACTACTCGTGTGCTTAGAAGTTGAGTGCATACATGGTGGCAGAATCAGGGCCTCATTCCCCATCCATCCAGATCCTAAGCCAAGTACCTTGCATTTCTGCTACGCTTGTATCCTTGGCCCCTGAAAGAAAGCTGTGTCCTTCTCAGGAACGCTTACAAAGCTAGTGAAACAATGACAATGTTGGCAGAAATTTGCTTTGTTTTGTTTCAATTAATCTGTCGCTTTTAGTGATCCTGTTAGGTGAGAGAACGAAAGTGACCAATATTGTCTTATTGTTTCCTTGCGCTCTCCCATCTGTCTGCCTGTCAGCTCTTAGGGGCAGGGCTATCTTTTCATTCTGTGTTTGTACAGCGCCTAGCACGCTGGGCCCAGGTCCATGAGTGTGGCGTCTATGTGCTACCACACTACAATCATCATAATACAAATAGAACTTCACTGCAGGCTAATATATAATTTACGGTAAATTACAATAATAATTTATTATATCTCCAGTAATCCTGGTATGGCAAATATTTCTGCATTGCCTTGGATCTGTATTAAAGGTGGCCTGCCCAAACTGGGTTTGTGGCTCTTTATGATGAAGATGGGCAGCTTGAAAGTTTTAAACATAAAAAAGGGGGGAAATCCTGCTTCCTCTTAACATTGGAAATGAAAGTTTTGTCATCTTGTTTTCCTAGAAGACTGTACAGATGTCTGGGGGACCAAGCTATGATATCAGAAATCATGCAGAAGTGAAACCTGATTAATTAGGGGGGAAGTGATTTTTATTCAGATGGTTTAAAACTTGTCTTTTGTTGTTGCTAAAACCTATTTAAGGAATCTCTTGAGAAGTAACTGGGGAAAAGGTGCCTTAAAGCTCCCACTACGCATCACCATGAGTCTTCTAGCAAAACCAGAGAAGACCAGATGTAGCATTCCTGATCTTTCCAGGGTGAAAAACCACACTTTAAAAAAAAACGAAAAACACTGTTTGGCTGTCTTTGGACACCATCAATAAAAAATGGCATAAAACCATTTTTTTCATCCGTTAACCCTCACACTGAAATGATCCTCATTTGAGTTATAACACTAATGCTTATATTTGGTCAACAAAAAGACACCCGTGAAATTAAATACAGAACATGGCCCTGATCCCATGAGGTCTGTGGGAGTTTTGTATTTGACACCTCCCAAGATCAAGCCCCAACATCCATTTTTTTCCATTTTAATATATTTTCTCCCATTTATTTTCCATCCAGCTGCTGATAGTCATCACCACGTCCTGACTTAACGGCAAGCTCTGCAATGGAGACCCATTCCACTTCTTCACTAGGCAACAGACATCCCAGATCACCAACCCTTCTGTACGACACATCCCCTTTTTTGCAAGTCAACTAACTTACCTGGTTGGTACGTTTTCCCACTCAACAGGATGTCAAGTTTTTCATACACTTTGGCTGCAATTTCATGCAGCTTATCCAGAGCTGGGAATGGAGAACAGAAGTCAAGGAACGCCTTGAGGTCACTAGAAATATTGAACACTTAGGCACGATCAGTGAAATTTCTGTTCAAAGTGACCGTGGTGCAGGCTACAGAATCTAGGAACATTGTCTAAAAGCTCTTCATCTGAAACCCATTTAAATGCTGCGTTTGGGGCTTATGTGATTTGAACAGCCTTGTGTGAGTTCTCTGCACTGGAATCAGTTTCACTTCAAAACTACAGCAAGTTGGTTTTCAGACAAATCTTTCACTTTTCCAGCACTGTCAATCCCAAGTGTTCAAAAAATCTGGAGTGAGGCACCTAAAAATCATGAGATTTTTTAAAAATAATACATTTGCAGTTTTTTTTTATTTGCCTTATTTTGTGAGCCTTTAGGGTACCTCCGGAACATATTTATACAATCACGAGGGGTAGGAACATACTTTAAAAAAACCACCAAAAGTGAAAGCTGAGATTCTCCCATATTCCTATGACTCCAGGAGCTGACGCTCTGAGCAAAACCAGCAAATATCGTGGCAGCTGGTAATACTGTTTTGATGAACATGGCATTGGCTGAATTAAAGATATCTAAGCCAGTCAGAATGCAAATGAAACGACGAACACAGAGATCATTACAGAAATGGTGATCAGGAATATTTTCATAGAATTACCACCTCTGGCTTAGAAAATATGGGTTTACTTTGCCATGCATTTTTAACATGGCTCATTTTCACCTGGGAGATTATTTAGCAGCAGGAGGCTTTTATCTGGCTGTGGCATCACCGTATTCTATCAATATCATCTCTTATTTTAATTAAGATTCCACAAAATAACCAACCTCTTCTGATTCCAAAGAAATGAAAATGACATTGGAGCGGTCCCTGGGAAGTAACGTTAAAAACTCAATTTAAAATAGAAATGCTCTGAATGCTACAATTCGTCAAGCTCAGAACCGTTTAACAGATTCCAAACTTTTAGTAAACGAGTTTCTCTTTGCAGAGCCAGGTAAAATTTCCACATTCCTGTTGGATCTGTGCTAATGAAGGGCAGGCACAATCAAAGGCTAAGGGGCAAGGTAAAACAGAAACAATCTTTTCTCTCCAGAGATGTTCATCTGCTCCTTGAATTAACTTCCAAGGTACCAGTAGTTGGAATAGGAAAGACTGACACGCATGATGGCAAATGAACTGAATGGGGCCTGGGGAGGAAGGGAAATGAGATTAAAATGACATAAACATACATCAAAAAGTAGAAGTGCAAACCATAGGCCCTGATTGTCTTGTTCATTCTGTGCAGCGGAAGATTACAGCCCCAAGAGTTCTGGGCTCAGATCCTCAAAGGCAGTAGTTATCAACCAGGGGTACGCACACCCCTGGGGGTACACAGAGATCTTCCAGGGGGTACATCAACTCATCTAGTTATTTGCCTAGTTTTACAACAGGCTACTAGCATTAGCCAAACCAGCACAAACTAAAATTTCATGCAGACAATGACTTGTTTATACTGCTCTATGGACCATACATTGGATATAAGTACAATAGTTATATTCCAATTGATTTATTTTGTAATTATATGGCAAAAATGAGAACATAATCAATTTCTCAATAATAGTGTCCTGTGACGCTTTTGTATTTTTATGTCTGATTTTGTAAGCAAGTAGTGTTTAAGTGAGGTGAAACTTGGGGGTACGCAAGACAAATGAGACTCCTGAAAGGGGTACAGTAGTCTGGAAAGGCTGAGAGCCACTGTTCAAAGGTATGTAGACTTCTAACTTCCATTACATCAACAGAAGCTAGGAACCTAAATACCTCTGAGGATCTGAGCCATGGAGCTTACATTTCTCAGTGCATAGATAGACTGGGACTGTACCCTGCGTTTTCCTTATCATAGCTTCATGTGATGGCTACTCATCCTACCCTTCCACACACCTTGAATAACATAGATTATCTCCAAATAGCATAAATTCCTGCTAGATCTCACTAGTTTGGAGTACATTTTAAGGTCAGGATTTGTAAGTATTCCAGTCATGTAAGAAGGGGTTTTGTCACGTTTCAATGAGACATTTAAAATCCCAGTTGGTTTGTTTAAAAATCTCCTTCATTTAAAGTCCCAGCAGCAGAACTTCGGAAGTTCACATCCCATGTAAAATGTTGACGTGGTTTTGCACAACCTCAATTGTCAGTTCAGTTTTGGGGTTTTCGTTTTTTATTTCTTCCTAAGGGACAGATACTGATCTTTTCCCATCCAGGATCTTTCAAAAGGGACAAGTTCTTTTTTAGAAAGTGTGGCCTATTGAGTAGATTGTGGTGCCAACTAATGGCCCACAGGCCATGCACGGCCCACCAGAGCATTTCATAAGGCCCGCAGCCTGCTTCAACACAATACGCTAATGGCTAATTCATTAGTGTTTTGTCATCATTTAGTTTATACAAATGTGTAAATAGACAATACTGTACATAGAAACAATCTATCTAAATACATACGAAACAAGCTGAACTTAACATATAAGTCAATACAGATGACTTTAAATCTTATTAATACACCTCTACCCCGATATAACACTGTCCTCGAGAGCCAAAAAAATCTTACTGCGTTATAGGTGAAACCGCGTTATATCGAACTTGCTTTGATCCGCTGGAGTGCGCAGCCCCGCCCCCCCAGAGCGCAGCTTTACCGCATTATATCCAAATTTGTGTTATATCGGGTCGCGTTATATCGGGGTAGAGGTGTATATGTAGAATCTGTTTGACCCACCCAAGGCTGTGCTTAGGTTCATGTGGCCCTCCTGTGTAATAAGGCTGGGCATCACTGG